CCTTTCCCTTGGGACATGGCAGCAGAGCCCGACCCCCCTCCCTGCCCCCTCCTGTCAGGGAGTTGGGGAGAGCAATGAGGTCCCCCCTGAGCCTCCTCTTCTCCAGATAAACCCCCCCAGCTCCCTCAGCTGCTCCTCACAGGACATGTTTTTCAGCCCCTTCCCCAGCTCCCTTGCCCTTCTTTGGATACACTTTTTTCATGTCCATTGCATAAACTAAAGGAGTTACCCATATAGGTATTAATAAACTTTTTATATAGAATCACAGAATCCTGGAATCAAAGAATGGTTTCAGTTGGAAGGGACCTTAAAGCTTATCCAGTTCCACCCCCTGCCATGTTCAGGGACACCTTCCACTAGCCCAGGTTGCTCCAAGCCCTGTCCAACCTGGCCTGGGACACTTCCAGGGATGGGGAGTCCACACCTTCCATTCTACAACTCCATGAAATCATTAATATTTCCAATATCTGGGAACTGACTGGCATCCTGGAGCAGAGCAGGTAAGCCTGCAGGAGCTGTCACAACACATATCCCATGTCTCGTTTCCTTGATAAAGTTCTCTATAAATCAGTCAGAAGCATCATAAAAAAATATTATTACAGGGAAAAAAGCTGTAAAACTCTTGTCTTTAAGACATTTCCTTGGCTCTGTAGGTAAGTTGGAAGAATCAGCCATGATATCACCTCGGCTTTGGACTCCCAAAGCTGCCTAAGGCAACCAGGCCCTTGACACGTGTTCATTTTCTTTGGGCACACCTTTGAAAAACCCCAGCTGGTGTGTTTTTCCAAGGAGATACATCCCCCTGGGAGCGTGACCATGCTTGGAAAGCCTGTGGCACCACTTTCACTGTGTTCCAGCCCAGGTTTGCAGCTCCCTGACATCACTCACCGCTCTTTTTCATTCCTCTGCTGGTCTGTACACTTTGCACAAGTGTATCAGCACTGAGGTTTTCGTGGTGAGCTGGGAGAGGAGTTAACAGCACTATCTAACCTCAGTTGTTTTAGCCCAACATGGCTGTGGTTTGGTCTTCAAACAAGCTGAAAGATAAGCAAATATCTGCTGTGACCCCTCCTGCACCATGTATATTTTATGAAAGCAAACAGTTTAATGCTGTGGTTCACACCCCACTGCTGAACACTCAACGGAGTAATCTCTGCACCACAACAGGGGTTGAAACTGCTTTTATTCCCCCCCAAAATGCATTGGAATAAGTTGTCCAGGGAAGTGGTGGAGTCCCTGTGTCTGGGAGTGTTCCAGAGGTGTCTGGGAGTGTTCCAGAGGTGTCTGGATGTGACCCTTGAGGACATGGATTTGGGGTGATCCTGGTGGTGCTGGGTGAGGGTGGCACTGGATGATCCTGGAGGTCTCTGCCAGCCTTGATGGTTCTGGGATCATTCAGGGGTTGAGAGTCTTTTGTGCTGAATTCTGAGGGCTAAAAAAAAAATTGCTGGAAGGCTTCTCAAAACCAAGAAGCAAACAATTCTCTTCCTGAAGATCTTAATTAGGTTGCCCAGAGAAGTTGTGGACTCCCCATCCCTGGAAGTGTCCCAGGCCAGGTTGGACGGGGCTTGGAGCAACCTGGGCTGGTGAAAGGTGTCCCTGCCCATGGCAGGGGGTGGGAACTGGATGGTCTTTGTGGTCCCTTCCAACCCAAACCATTCTGGGATTCTATGACTCTTCCAACCTTGGTGATTCTATGATTCTGGGATCTGCTGTCCCTACAGCCAAAATATGGTGTGATTCTTGGGGTATCCTGCGTAGGGCCAGGAGCTGGACTCGATAATCCTGGTGGGTCCCTTCCAACTCAGCAAATTCTCTGATTCCAGAGGATCCTGTAGTGGTTTTGCTCCAGTTCTCACAACCAGAAAAAAACACAGGTAAAAGGTACAAAGCGGCAGACCGAGGAAAAATCAGCTTTTCTGATTCCTCTTCCCTGTTCAACCCCGTCTCCCTTCCCATCAACACCCCGGTTCCATTCCCAGAGCCGATTATTTGCTTTCGCCTCAAAACGACTCCCCGAACAGGAGAATCTTATTTCAGAGAAGCATCTCATTGCAAAAGCATCCTGGAAAGAGCAGAAATAAAGAGCACAGACCGTCATTCACGTCATCAGCACAATCACACGAGTCCAAACCCAAAAACAATTGCGCATTTTTCTCTGCTCCCCCGGGACCCGACATTTAAAGCTCGTATGTATTTCCTGCAAGCCTTACAAGAGCTTCTTAAAAATACTCTTGGCTGCAGATAAGTGGCCAAGCACCGAGTCCAAACCGTGCACACCAAGAATTTTAAACTGACTATTCCTTGGTCTTTGCTGCTTTTAATAATTTTAAATGAAGAAGTAAAAATTTATGTCGGAAACACACAGAGCCACATGTGGAGGGGAATTATAAGGCAGAAATAAAACACCATTTTGTTTTGAGCTGGATGGTCATGATCCTGAGGTGCTGAAATGCCACTGAAACCCACCCAAGAGGTGATATTTTTCTTTTAAACACTATAGAATTTTAAATTATGCACAGTTAAAGGAGCAGGACACTGTTACGGTGCTTTTCCCTCAAAAGTTTATTGTGACTAAATCAAATCTGCCACCCAGAAAGGATTTGCCAAAGAAAGGCTCCTTAGGACTTAAAAATGTTGAGGATTTGTTAAGCCTGTCCTTAAATCACAAAGTTGGAGAGCTTAGAGAAGACACAGGGGACTTGTACAGTGTAATTCCCTGTGAGGGTGCTGAGGGGCTGGGAGAGAATTCCCAGAGAAGCTGTGGCTGTCCCTGGATCCCTGGAAGTGTCCAAGGCCAGGTTGGACGGGGCTTGGAGCAACCTGAGCTGGTGGAAGGTGTCCCTGCCCATGGCAGGGGGTTGGAACTGAATGTTCTTTCAGGTCCTTTCCAACCCAAACCATTCCACGATCTATCCATTCAGGAAGTAGAAATCACCTCCTGTGCCCAATTCGTGGCTTACAAGCCTATGAGACACCTTCTGTGGTCATAGAACCAGAAGAGAATGAGCATGAAAGGATCATGGGTGAGGCAACCATCTGGCAGCTTCTGAATAGAACAACATAGGAAGAAATGGCAATTCCTTGTGGGAGCTGAGATAACTCCTCCCAACCTCCGGCAGCCAGGACAGATCCTCCAGGGAAAAGCACAAGACAGAGAACAAACATGATGGTCTTGTTCCAGTTTGCATCCAGACCATTGGCTCCGTCCTTGTCTCGACCCCCTTGGAAACCATTTCTCCTTTTGGCCTCCAGGACAATCTTGAGGGAATGAGCTCAATAAACTGACTACGCACGACTGTGAAAAGCTTTTCCCTTCTGTTTTGTGCTTTATGATCCCACCAGGCACCCCCTGCTGCTTGTGCTTTGAGAAAGAGTATTTAATCCTTCCCTATCTGCCTTCCCCATGCTATTCAGGATTTTATAGTCGCCCATCATGACCCTTTGCTACCCCGTTTGTCCATTTTCCCAAACTCGGGAAAATTACTATGGTTAAACTTATTTCCTGCAGGGATCGTTTCAGTCTCTGCTCTCCTCTTTACTTCTGCTGGTTCTGCTTGCCTTACTTTTGCTGGATTCAAGAAGTGATGCCCAAAGCAGAGTGTGTTATATTATTTATATTATTGCATTATATTGTATAATGCTACGCTATCTTATTCCTGTCTAAAAGGAGGTATGAATTATACATGGGACAAAAAATGCTCTGTTCATTCCTTTTTGACTGCAGCTGAGCACTGAAGCAGTATTTTCACACACCACAATCCAACCATTGCAAGGTGACACCAGCACCCTGCAGCCAGTGAAATTCCCAAATTAAATATCCCATTGACTTCAAAGTGCCTCAAGTGAAGAACACACATGTAGTGGAGTGAATCCACTCCTGAAGAACAGGCTGAAATATGGCCAGAGCATCTGAGAAGGTTGGGGACAGCCTGGATTGATGGGATGAGGCCAATTGTGGGAGGTTCAACCAGGCCAAGGACCGGGTCCTGCCCTTGGGTGACAACAACCCCCTGCAGCTCCAGGCTCGGACAGAGGGGCTGGAAAGGATTGGGAAAGGCCCTGGGGGTGCTGGTGACAGAGGCTGGACACGAGCCTGGGTGTGCCCAGGGGGACAAGAGGCCAATGGAACCTGGCCTGCATCAGGAATAGTGTGGGCACAGCCCAGGGCAGGGATTGTCCCCCTGTGCTGGCACTGCTGAGGGACCTCCAGGGCTGTGTCCAGGTCTGGAACCTCATGGGAGAGAGACCTGGAGGGGCTGGAGTGTGTGCAGGGAAGGGAACGGAGCTGGGGAAGGGGCTGGAGCAGCAGGAGGGGCTGAGGGAGCTGGGGGGGCTCAGCCTGGAGAAAAGGAGGCTCAGGGGGGACCTTCTGGCTCTGCAACCCCCTGACAGGAGGGGGGAGCCGGGGGGGGTCTGGCTCTGCTGCCAGGGAACAAGGGACAGGAGGAGAGGGAACAGCCTCCAGCTGTGCCAGGGGAGGCTCAGGTGGGACAGGAGGAGGAATTTCTCCCTGGAAAGGGTGGTGAGGCCTTGGCAGGGGCTGCCCAGGGAGGTTTGGAGTGCCCATCCCTGGAGGTGTCCCAGGAAGGCCTGGATGTGACACCAGGGCTGGGGGACAAGGTGGGGATGGGGCACAGGGGGGATCCATGGGCTGGGAGGGCTTTTCCAACCTCAGTGATTCTGGGATCTGCTGGATGCTCTAACACCTCAGTGACCCTCTGTGGCTCCTCTTTTCTCTTCCCTGACCACACAGCCCTGCACACATCCTGCAGGAGGTCAAACACCAGTGACCTGAGGCATTGCTGTTCCGTAGGGCCTGGCACCACGCTCTCTCCTCCTGCTGAAAACCTTTAACTGGCACTTTTTTGCCAAAACCTACTGGTTTCTCAGAGCCACCACCCAGCCCTCAGCTCCACATGACAAAGGAGGGGAGAAGAAGGAAGGGCTCTTTGTGCATTTAATGTTCTGCTGATTGGTGACAAAAATAAAGCAAAACACTCCTGAACACTCGCACACAAGATTTACAAGAAGACAACAGCAACTGCTTGGGGATGATAGTTTAAAAAGGCCCACAAAACTTTTGGGGATAGAAGAGACTCGTCACAGCTTGTCTTTCATTTTGCTCATGATCCCACACGGCTTTGTTGACTAATTGTGCTGTTGGCTCGGGGATCTCTGATGTGGCATTAATTTGGGAACTGTGGAAAAGTGACAATCAACAGAGTCACAGCAGATGTGGCTGAATAGCTCAAGCCCCAAAAAAATGGTGTTTTTTCTTATTGAATTCTGCACTAAGTGTGTTATTGCACTGAGTTATTCCACAGGCAGCAAAAGTAACAACCCCCCCATTCCCAATGGTCTGGATCTGCCAGATCTGGTGAGGTGGGAGTTGGGCTCTGCTGCCATGCCCCAAGGGAAAGGAGGAGAGGAAATGGCCTCAAATTGCCCCAGGGCAGTTTCAGATCAGAGATTAGAAACAATTTTTCCCTGCAGGAGTGGTCAGGCCTTGGGATAAGTGTCCCAGGGAGGTGGTGGAGTCCCTGTGTCTGGAAATATTCTAGAGGTGCCCGGAGGTGACACCCGGGGACATCACCAAAAATTAACAACTTTTCTTCATGTCATCTTGTCCTATTCTGGCCAACCTCGTGATGGCAGATGTGGCAGGAGGTTTTGAAATGCTGAGGAGCCCACAGTGGTGGTTTTAAGCAGTTTTGGGGGCTGTCAGGGGCTCTGGGAGTTACTGTTCACTCCCTGCTATTGGGTTTTACGTGGCACTAGGAAGGCATTAGGAAGATGCCCCAAAGCCTGGAGAGGAGAAGGCTCCAGGGAGAGCTTAGAGCCCATTCAAGGGCCTAAAGGGGCTCCAAGAGAGGGACTTCGGACAAGGGATGGAGTGACAGGAATGGGGGAATGGCTTCCCAATGACAGAGAGTAGGGTTAGATGGGATATTGGGAAGGAATTCCTCCCTGTGGGGGTGGGGAGGGGCTGGGATAGAATTCCCAGAGCAGCTGTGTCTGCCCCTGGATCCCTGGAAGTGTCCAAGGCCAGGTTGGACAGGGCTTGGAGCAACCTGGGCCAGTGGAATGTGTCCCTGCCCATGGCAGGGATTTGAATGAGATGATCTTTCAAGCCCCTTCCAACCCAAACCATTCCATGATTCCTTGATTCTGCTCCAGCTCTGCAGTCACCAACCACGATGTTAATGTAAAATTATCTGTCCTTTGTCTGGATGACCACAAAGCTGAGGGGCAGAGGTGACAAGAGCAACGACACATTTGCACAACCGCATCGGGGCAAAGCTGATTTCTTGGAAGGGAATCTTTGAGGGGGGCCACAGTTTAGCAAGAAGACTTCAGAAGAAATTCGTGTTTGAATCCAAGCACAGACGAAACACAATAGCCAGAGTTATCACTGGGAGGATCTGAAACGCGCCAACAAGCGAAACCACAAGAAATGGCTAATAAAAGCAAACCCCTGTGAAGCATAAAAAAAAAAAAAATGTACATTTACCATTATGTTGTGGTTAATTCTCAGACAATGCTGCAAAAATCAGGGTGAAGTGCTGCTTCCTGTCACTTAAAGGCAACGAAACCCGAACGCCGAGAATTCCTCGGGCCGAGGAATGCAGACGTACATCATGTCTGCAAGGATCAGAAAAAGATCAAATGCGATGTTTTCTTTCCGGCGCGAGACAAACCCGCTCTGAGACTTTCCAGCCAGCCGGCCCCGAAAAAAAACCGCCCCCGGCGCTCGCCAATTACTCCTGACAGACCCCATTTGCTCCCGAGTGATGTCTTAAGTGAAACAAAACAGCGAAGAAAACCCCGACGTGATGAAAGGGTTCTTTTTTTTCCTCCCCCCCTCTCTGGAGCGACTGTGAGTTCTGCGTTCTGAGCTTCCCGCCGGGGACAAATCCGAGCGCGGAGGGGAGGTTTGTTTGACAGGAGCTGGGTTTTCGTGTTGTTTTAAGAACTCAGAGGGTTCCTGGCTGTAAACAAAGGAGCTGCTGGGACCCCCCCCTGTTCCATATCATTCTTCTTAACATAAGTGCACTAATGGAGGGGGTGATTCCCTAATATTGAAGTGGTCAGAGGGCAAAGTGGGTGGACAGTGGAGCTTTCTGTCAGCAGAGCTTGATTTATGTATCAGCTGCAGCCTGCAACCAGTAACAACCAGCATATTCCATATTTTCACAACATTTATTAGTCATGGAGAGCTTGGAGACAGGTAAAAACAGCTCAAGCTCTAGGACTGGAAGAGGTATTTAAAGAATGATTTAAATAACTTACTCTTAGTCCTCTTTTGACCTTCCCTCCTTTCAAACAGAGGGTTGTGATCCATTTAGCTCTACATTTACCACCTCAACTGTCAAGAGGATTTGCTCCAGGTCCTTGTGTTGTGAATTCTGCTGCCTGTCTGGGCTCTCACAGCATCACAGCCGTGTTGCCTGTTGCCCCCAGGACACCAGGTTACCAGAAATTTGTCTCTTCCTCCCAAGGGGAGCAGCATCTTTTCTTAACTAACCCAACACTGCAGCAGCTGTTTTCTGAATTACCCCAGTAACACTCCCACTTCCCCCCTGCCTGACACTCAGCAGTTGTGTCGTGTTTCTGACTTCCATTCAAACCTTACTTTCATCCTGAAGCAGTGGGGAGAGCAGGGGAGGACACTCCAGAGAACGTGGGGACATTAAGGACGTTTTTCATGCTGGTTCATTTTGCAACGGGCTGGGGTTTGTTTGTTTCCCAGTTCTCTGCATGTTTACTTTGGCAAAACCATTTTATTTTGAAATTAGGAATGTTTAACCCATCAGGTTATTATCACGAGAATTTCAAGAAACGTGTTAGTAAAAATTAATCAAGGCTGTGCTGTGAGGTTCCACCTACTTTTGGTGCTACAGCTCGAAATTTCAGCAGGATATTCCTTCAGACTTCAGGGAAGGTCTCCTTCAGGCTCCCTGATTATTCTCAGGGAGGAATAAACCAGGACAAACCCCAGGAGTGTGAACGTGGTGGCTTTTTTGGGCATATTTGGCTTTATTTATAAGGCCCAGGTGGGCAAGAGTGTAGAGGTGACATGGCAGTCTGTGCCCAGGGCAGATCCATTGCCTGGCAGACATTCATTAAATGACAGAATTCCAGACTGGTTTGGGTTGGAAGGGACCTTAAAGATCTCGTTCCACCCCCTGCCATGGGCAGGGACACCTTCCAGTTGCTCCGAGCCCCATCCAACCTGGCCTTGGACACTTCCAGGGATGGAGTCTCTTCTCCCAGGGAACAAGGGGCAGGAGGAGAGGAAATGATCTCAGGCTGTGCCAGGGGAGGCTCAGGTTGGACAGGAGGAGAAATTTCCTGCTGGAAAGGGTGGTCAGACCTTGGCAGGGGCTGCCCAGGGAGGTTTGGATTCCCCATCCCTGGAGGTGTCCCAGGAAGGCCTGGCTGTGGCACTCAGTGCTCTGGGCTGGGGGACAAGGTGGGGATTTGGAACAGCTTGGATTTGGTGGTCTGGGAGGCTTTTTCCAACCTCAGTGATTCTGGGATTTTGGGATACCTCAAGACACACTCTCAGCTTTCCCCAAGTTCAGCCTCCTACACCCTGGTGCTTCCAGCCCCAACAGCGTGTTGGAAGAGGAGTCCCACTCTCTGATCCTCCTCCCAGGCCATAGTAAATCCCTATAACTGAAATAAATTTTGTTCTTTCCCAGAAAAAAAAAATAATATTAAGTGATCTCTGTCAGTTTTGGACTAAAATCTGCCTAATGAAGCCCTGAGGTCACGTACCAAAGGCAAGGTGTCAAAGGCTTTGTTGGGGCCAAGTGGAATTAAATCAGCATCAAATAGACATGGGATCAACTGATTTTTCCAGTTGAAGGTTCCCTACCCGTGGCAGGGGGTTGGACTAGATGGTCTGTAAGGTCCCTTCCACCCCAAACCATTCTGGGATCCTGTGATACACTGATGGACCAGCAGCCTGGTGTGGGAAATGAGAGGTTTCCCACCTGGCAACATGGAGGGATCCATGCCCATCTCCATCTGTGAGACATCCAGATGGACCAGCACAACCAAAAGGCCCCATCACTGCCAAAAAAATGCCAAGGAACCCAAATATCCCTGCTGTGCTCAAGCTGGGATAGCCATGGATGTGGCACCCACAGACACACACAGGAACCTGCCTGAGGCTTCCAAATTCTCTCTCACCTTCATTATTGTACAAAACAGCCCCTCTCTGGGGGCACCACCCCACCCTCCCATTCCAGCTCCCCAGCCCATCCACACTGCTCCCCCAGCAGGCCTTTAGGAGTCTCCCATGACCTACACAGTGTTTTCCCACTCCAGAGCCAGGGAATGGCCAGTCCAGCATCCAAGTACCAGGCAGGGACAGTTTGGAGCAGCATGAGTCCCCCTGGGACTGCATGGTCCATCCTGGGCTCTCTCCAACATCCTTCTCAGGCCAGTCCACCCACTCTGAGCACTTCTGTCCATGCCAAGTTCATCCCAAGGGAAGGAGACACAAATTCCCTGACAATTTCTTGCTGGCTCCTCATGGACAGACATGCAGGCTCTGGATGCCAGCCCAGGCAGGGTGGTACAGACAGGGATGGCACCAGCCTCATGCTGAGTGTCCCTCTGTCCTCCCAGCAGTGCCTGCCAAGGGTCAAAAGAGCCAAACTGCCACCGCCAGCTCCTTCCAGAGCAGCTCCAGAGGGAGGGAGAGACCAAAATAGCACATCCAGAGCCTGTTGGATGGATGTGCCGGGGCTGCAGTGCCCTTCTGCCCAGTTTTTGCGGCCCGGTTTTGGCGGCCCGGATTGTTTGGGTTGGAAGGGACCTTAAAGCCCATCCAGTGCCACCCCCCTGCCATGGGCAGGGACACCTTCCACTAGCCCAGGTTGCTCCAAGCCCCGTCCAACCTGGCCTTGGACACTTTCAGGGATCCAGGGGCAGCCACAGCTTCTTTGGGAATTCTATCCCAGCCCCTCCCCACCCTCCCAGGGAGGAATTCCTTCCCAATATCCCATCTATCCCTGCCCTCTGGCAGTGTGAAGCCATTCCCCCTTGTCCTGTCACTCCATCCCTTGGAAATAGTCTCTCCCCATCATTCTTGTAGCTCCCTCAGGTCCTGCAAGGCCACAATCAGGTCACCCCAAAGCTTCTCTTCTCCAAAATCACTCCTGCCAGAGGAAACATCTCAATCCAAGTTCAACCATCAAAGGAGATTATTGAGAGGGATCTGTGCAAAAGATTCATCTGGCTCCTAATTCTGAAGAAATAAAACACATGAACAGAGAATTCTCCGCTGCAACCTCAGTAACTAAACCATTAAAGTTCACAGAATCATCAAGATCATCCAGCCCAAAGCAGCAAAATTTGAACTAATAATTCTGTCTTGAGTGACAGGCTCAAGGAGGAATGACATGATTCAAGCTGAGAGAGGAGCAATTCCAATCGAGTTAAAATACAATAAAACTGAGAGAAGATAAAAGACTAGAAAGCTCCAAGTTTCACTTGAAACCAGCAGAAAGAAAGTGGAATTTTCAGCTATTTATCAAAATCCAATCGTTGTGTGTCATTGAAGACAATACTTTTTACTATGAAAAATATAATCCAGGGTTAAAAAATATAAATAGGGTTATAACTGCATGTGGATATACTGTAACTCCTTATTTCTCTGCAGTGCAGCTGCATCATCTAGTGGACAGCACAGAGATTGCCTTAGTTACACACAATTAGCTTGGGATTACTTATCTTTGCTTTTCCCCCGAACACACCTCACTGCAGAGCTTTCCTGAGTTCTGGAATTACAGGTATCCACTAGAACATCCAGGGGAATGAGCTGGAAATGTAATTTTTTCTTTTCATTCACAGAATCCCAGAATGGTTTGGGTTGGAAGGGACCTTAAAGCTCGTCCAGTGCCACCCCCTGCCATGGGCAGGGACACCTTCCACTATTCCAGGTTGCTCCAAGACACATCCAACCTGGCCTTGGACACTTCCAGGGATCCAGGGGCAGCCACAGCTTCTCTGCCCAACCTGTTCCTGTGATTGTCTAAAGAAACCCATAAAGTTCTGCTGGGACAATTTCCCTCTGCCCTGGAGTTCATCACCTCCACCCCTCAAGTCCCAGATTTCCTCAGTCCACCAAACACTTTGAATTCTGCCCAAGGGGGGCACTTTTAAAGGGGCTTTCTTTACTGTCTAGGCAGGGAGAGGCTCTATACCCCGAGCAAAATCATCTTAAAAGCTCTTCCTTTGCAAATGCCATCTCGGAAATGTTTTCAGAGTGTACTTAAAAGCTTTAATTATCCGAGTATGAGAGCTGATACTCCCTCATCTTGTCCCAAAACAGACAGGCCCAAAGGCACTTAGCAATGATGGATGATCTCCACACATTACAGCTGAAGAAATCTGTAAATTAGGAGCCACTCTCTGGGGAGATCAAAGAAAATCCAGGCTGGATTTACATAAATTGACACGGGAAAGATATTGTCGTGAGGGTTCGTGTTTATCATTTTTCAGTGGCTTCAGACTGCACTAAATCAACTTCCTCCTTAAAAAAAACTAATGAAGAAATAAGCTGTGCTATTTCTGCCTCATGCTCCAATCACAGATCAAGTGTCTCTCATTACCCTGCCCAAACCCAGTGTCTCCAGTGCAGCCACGGAATCGTTCCCACTTCATCCCTCTTGGAGTCACAGAATCAGGGCTGGGAGAGACCTTCAGGATCATCCAGTCCCACCACCACCTCCCTGGGACACTTATTGCAAGGCCTGACCACTCCTGCAGGGAGAAATTGTTTCTCATCTGCAACCTGACCCTGCCCTGGTGCAGTTTGAGGCCATTTCCTCTCCTCCTTTCCCTTGGACATGGCAGCAGAGCCCGACCCCCCTCCCTG